AGAAGAAGAAGAAGAAGAAGAAGAAGAAGAAGAAGAAGAAGAAGAAGAAGAAGAAGAAGAAGAAGAAGAAGAAGAAGAAGAAGAAGAAGAAGAAGAAGAAGAAGAAGAAGAAGAAGAAGAAGAAGAAGGAGAAGAAGAAGAAGAAGAAGAAGAAGAAGGGGAGGACTCGACGCTGAATCTGTTTCAACAGGAGGTGGAGGATTTTCATGATATGATGTACGTTAAGAGTGTCTGCTTCGCTAGTTTTCGTGTATGTAGGTTACCCTGTTCGGTGTCTACTAACTCGATGTCTCTTTAGGAACTTCGCCTTCGCCACTCCTTACGCCTGGGATCCGCTGGATCCGACCATCTATCTTCCAAGCTCCGACTCCAGTAGCTCTGGTACCGAAAGAAATACGCCATCAGCCTCTTCAACCGAGGTATCAGGGCAAATAGACGACCAGGCGACTTCTTAAGTCATCTTCATACATACCATCACATCGGTGCTTCAAGTTTATGCCCATGTTCATACACAGGTTCATACACCGCATGTATATACTTTCCTTTGTGTCCCTCAGATTCATCAAGATTCGTGATGTATTATAGCAGAGGATAGTACGGTTAGCAGTTGTAGCAGGCGTAGACAAAGAGGTAGGTTTTAAAACTCAGCGTAGTTATCCTTGACTTTAAGTCCTCTCTGCAGTACTTCCACCACCTAGCAAGCTTCCCGTTTGGCATGCTTCAAATCACTATGCCTTGACTTGGATCTATTGACTTGATAGAGTCAACTTGAAGAGTTGTCATGCCATGAAGAAAGGACAGAAAAAGAAATTTAAAAAAAAAAAAGAGTAATCAAGGGAGTCAAAGAATTTCTCAGTACGCAGTAGTATGACGGCGGCTCTCAGTGTAAACAGATGTAGGATCTCTCTTGACTGCACCTTTTCTCTAGACTTCCACTGATGGGAAGGGTAAAGCTGCTGGCTTTTCTCTCATGATATGCTGACTTGATGATCTCTCCCGTTAAGTACAATACAAGAGCTCTCAGGAATACTTGAAATTCCCATCTTCCAACCCATGCTACGTACCCAAGCACATACTTTGAAATCTATCTCTATAAGTAAAAAGCAAAGTAAGAGAGTATAGAAGCCAGGCCGGAAACTGTGCAACAGTATTCATGGAGAACAGCAAAGAGAATGAACCAGGAAAGAAAAAGACCACCGTTTAACTAGTAATGCATGCCATGCAATAGCAATGTGATGCGATACCCAGTATTAACACAAGCCGCAACGATGAAATGAACATCAACATGAACAAGAGAGCAATCCATAGACCAAAACCAGAGCCTTAGCCTTGATAACCATACCACAACAACCAGCAACAACCAGAGATATGCACTAATAATGCTCTCTGCTCTCCTCCTCTCTGCTTGCTCGACTCTTACAGAACCATTTTCTCTGGGATGTGGCAAAGCCATAGGCCCCAGATATTACCAAATTACCCAAATCCTCCTCTTGCACCATCCATCGCCCGTCATTAATACCATCATTTCATTAACCATAACCGCATCTTATCCTCTCGATTAAGCCCTCAAGTTTGAGTCAGCTCGACTCAAGATAACTCCTCTCCGGAACCCCTCGGAGAGACAACTCACAACATATGCCTCTCCTTCTCCTCCACCTCCCTCATATACTTAACAAACGTCTTTTTATGGCACTGTTTCATCTGTCAGTACTCATCCCATTTCCAACTTTTGATCTCAAGTAGTAGTAGTAGTAGTAGTAGTAGTAGTAGTAGTAGTAGTAGTAGTAGTAGTAGTAGTAGTAGTAGAAGAAGAAGAAGAAGAAGAAGAAGAAGAAGAAGAAGAAGAAGAAGAACAACTTACCATTCCCGCATACCGCCCATCCCTCACCACACAAATATACCTCAACCCCAGTTTAGCAAAACACTCATACACCAGATCCATCGGACTCCTGATATCGAGCGCCACCGGCGCAGGGTCAATATACGGTGTGAAGTCCGTCGGATCCTCCCCCGCCTCATCATCCTCTTCAATACTCTGCACCGGTGCCATCAAACACAAACTATTCTCCTCATCCGGAAGTTGATCTAAAGCGTATTCCAGATCAGGGGCGGGAATTAAGCCGACGAGGATGCCATCCCGCACGATGGGCAGGCCGCCGTCGAGCTCGCCGGCGCGGTGCAAGAGTTCAAGTTTGTGCCGGAGAGTTGGGGCAGCGACGAGCGGGGAGTTGGTGATGTCGATAATGCGATGGGGGCGGATAGTGCGGGGGATAATGTCGGCTAGCTCGGAGGTGAAGATGGGTTTGTGTTTGTTATTGAGGTAAGGGTAGGAATTCATTTCTGTGAGGAGGTCCTACACATAGCCTAGTCAGTAGAGTTTTAAGCTAGATAGGGGGGGATTTTTTTTTGGGCCGGGGGAGGGGGGAGGGAGGGAAGGGGTGGGGTGGAAAAAAGTGACATACATAAATACTAAGAGGCTCAATAAAGTCTGCCGTCCACTTCGCGACCAAGATGGCCAGTGAAAAAGGCAGGACGTAGTCCAGACTACCCGTCAGCTCGAACAAAATGACGGCGAGGGTAACCGAGAGCCTAGTAACACCGCACATGGTTGAACCGGCAGCAATCAAGCCGTACACGCCGGGCTGGATGCAAGTACCCGGCATGCGGCCGCAGGTGCCCCAGAGACCAAAGTTGGGCGTGGCCATGACCACCCATTGCACGACGTGCCCGCAGAAGCGACCCATTAGACCACCGACGACCATGGACGGGACGTAGATGCCGGCAGGGACTTTCTGTGGACTTGTTAACCTCTCTCTCT